CTCGTGTACGTAGACGACCTCATCTTTGCCACTGCTGACACAGAGGCACTGACCCTTGTGAAGTCGGAGCTGTAGAAGAGACACACCTGCACTGACCTGGGTGAACTGCGCAGCTATCTTGGCTTGCAGTTCACCCGGGACAGAGCTCGGCGCACCATCACACTGACTCAGTCACACATGGTGCACCAGGTCCTTCAGCGCTTCGGCTTCCAGTTCTCCTTGCCACAGCCCACTCCTCTGTCTACCAGCCACTCGCTCTCAGCTCCACCTTCGGACGAGTCCGTAGAGCCGAGTGGTCCGTACCCAGAGCTTGTGGGTTGCCTCATGTACCTGATGACGTGCACTCGACCTGATCTCGCGTACCCTCTCAGCCTCTTGGCTCGCTACGTGGCTCCCGGTAGGCATCGAAAGGTGCACTGGGATGCTGCGAAGAGGGTACTGCGTTACTTGTGCAGTACGTCGGGCATGGGGCTCGTGCTTGGAGGACGGGGTCCAGTTGTCCTCACTGGTCACGCAGACGCTTCTTGGGCTGACGACTTGGCTACGCAGCAGTCGTCATAGGGTTACACCTTCAGCCTCGGTTCCGGCTCTGTCTCCTGGCGGTCTACCCGCTCGTCTTCGGTTCTCAGCTCCAGTTGTGAGGCTGAGATCTACGCAGGAGCCATGGCTGCACAGGAGCTACGCTGGCTCACCTACCTGCTGACTGACTTGGGAGAGCAGCCTCGTTCGCCTCCAGTTCTGTACGTAGACAACAAGGCCATGCTTGCCTTGTGTCAGGAGCACAGACTGGAGCACAGAACGAAGCACATCGCTCTGCGATACTTCCTTGCTTGAGAGTTGTAGCAGCGTGGCCAGGTTCGTCTTGCGTACGTGGCCACTAGGGCCAACACTGCTGATGTATTCACCAAGGCACTTCCGCCTGGTGATCATCAGCGCTTCGCTACTGTGCTAGGCCTTGTGCCTACTTTGCCTCACTTGCTCACTGCGTGACTTTCCTTGTACTGTGATCTATATAGATATCTGCATGCTTACACTTGCTAGGGTATGATCACTGTATTGTTTGTTCTCTTTTATATAACTCTGCATGTGAACTGGCCTTGTGGCCCTTTGCTTGTGCTTGGACTGTGTGGTGACTTTGTGATCCACCCTGAGCTTGCTTTGCTTTTCTTGACTGGTCTTGTGACTGCTTGTTCTCCCCCACTTTGCCTATGGGGGTGTGTCAGAATGTTATATTGCTTACAATTGTGTAGGCTGTAGTGGGGTAGCCCATAAGGGGTACAACCCAATTAGGGTTAGTACTTGTACCCAACTGTTTGATAGTGCATTCATTCTCGTTCACTCTTTCTGACAGATCCTAGACATTGACACTAACAAAATCGTACCTGCGCACAACATCCTCTTCTACGAGCGACTCACCTTGCAGTAGTGGATTGAGGATCAACACAGCAATGTCGCACGCGCCTACGCCAACAACGGCCACAGTTTTGCATCTCCGGAAGACGAGGCAGCAGCATCAGCACTTGACCGCGACCCCGCCGACGAACATCCCGTCATACCGCCTCGCCCGCGCCAGGCAACGCCATGCTCCACCAAGCAGCGCCCCACCCACTCACGAGAGTGACGTTGATGACGTAGTGGAAGTCACCACTCAGAATGCCGAAGGGGCCTCCAACGTCACAGGACTACAGCTGCTCGGCCTGCACACATCAGTCGCTACTCTCACGTGCACCGTCGAGCCCAAGAATCCGTGCTAGGCCCTAACCGGCCCTCATGCCAAGGAGTGGCGTGCAGCTATGGACGAGGAGCTAAAGGCGCTGGAATCACGTGACACGTGGGTCCTAGTCGATCGTGCAGCAGTGAAGGGGAGAAGGGTACTAAGCGGGAAATAGTTTTTTCGCCTTAAAACAAACGCTGATGGAACGACCGAACGTTTTAAAGCACGCTGGGTCGTACGTGGCTACGACCAGCGTCACGGCATCGACTTCGACCAGACCTTCGCCCCCGTCAGCCGTCATACATCTGTGAGGATTCTACTCGCCATCGCGGCCGCTAAGCATCTACCATTGCGGCAGATCGACGTCAAGAACGCATTCCTATATGCGTTGGTCGATGCGACAATCTTCGTGGAACAGCCACACACCTACGGGGAAGGAGACCCCAGGGTCTACCAGCTGAAGAAATCTCTCTACTGGATAAAACAGGCGCCACGTCTCTGGCAACAACACCTGCACAAGATTCTTTTGGAAATCGGCTTCAGGCAGCTGCCAAACGACCCGGGAATGTACCGCCTTCACTTCAACGACGATTACATTCTCCTGACAGTTTACGTCAATGATCTGTTGTACACCGGTACCTGCAACAAACTCCTTAATCAGTTCGACGAGAACCTGGCACAGCGCGTTGACATCACCATCAACCACAATGTCACGCAGTTTCTGGGACTGAACATCACACACGTGCCAGAAGCAATCCATCTCTCAGCCTCCAAGTACGCAGAGCAGCTGGGGGAACGTTTCAACATCTCGCCCACACCACTCCCTATCGCAACCCCATCGCCAACTACAAACCGGACAACAAACCTCTGTCACCCGCATGAATCCAACTGTACCAGCAGAAACTGGGGTGCCTGCAGTTTGCTTCTGTCACCTGCCGACCCGACCTTTCGTACATCGCCAGCCAACTGGCACAGTACTCCCGCAAGCCAGTAGCCGAGAACCAGCTGGACCTGGAGCGCGTCCTGCAGTACTTCATCTCCACACGTGACATCGGGCTCTCCTACTCCACGCTGACGACAACCTCATTCAATCTCAAGGGCTACGTGGACGCAAATCATGCTGCTGATCCTGCGAATTGACGGTCACAAACTGGCTTCGTTTTTTCGCATGGAGCCAATAGGACCAATCTCCTGGAACTCACAAAAGCATGAGCTGGTTGCCCTGTCATCGGCCGAAGCAGAGTACATCGCCGCGACAGCTGTAGTTCGCGAAGGTCTGTACCTGCAGCAACAGCAATAGCAATAGCAAAAGCAAGAGCAAGAGCAAGAGCAAGAGCAAGAGCAAGAGCAGGAGCAAGAGCAAGAGCAACAACAAAAACAAGAACAAGAACAAGAAGAAGAAGAAGAAAAAGAAGAAGAAGAAGAAGAAGAAGAAGAAGAAGAAGAAGAAGAAGAAGAAGAAGAAGAAGAAGAAGAAGAAGAAGAAGAAGAAGAAGAAGAAGAAGAAGAAGAAGAAGAAGAAGAAGAAGAAGAAGAAGAAGAAGAAGAAGAAGAAGAAGAAGAAGAAGAACAACAACAACAACAACAACAACAACAACAACAACAACAACAACAACAACAACAACAACAACAACAACAACAACAACAACAACAACAACAACAACAACAACAACAAAAACGACGACAACAACAACGACGACGACGAAAACAACAACGACAACGGCGACGACAACGACGACGACGACGATAGCAACATCAACATCAACAGCAAGCGCAGCAGCAGCAACAGCAACAACAATAACAAATACAAATACATTAGCAGGACATTGATATGAGACATGGAGGATCCTCAACAACAATAGAAACCGACACAAATATTGATATGCAATGGTATGCAATACAGTACGATTATATTGCGAATGCATATACTCGTTATCGTGATCCCTAGATACTTGAACGCATGTTAAAGGAATATTTCGAACAAAATCCATGCCGCGACGATAGTACATATGATACAATGGAATAAGCACGTACCATGAACTTTCGTGAGCTCCTTTTTTTTTTGTTTTGTTTTTTTTTTTAATGTTTAAACATATTCAGTTCAACGACACAAACAATCGATATCGGAAAAGCAATATAGTCATGGGGTGGGTTGGAAATGTTATAATACTCTATAAAATGGATTGGAGAAATCCCAATGCTTTCAAGTTAGATATGGGTCCAGCTTTTTCTGTAGATTTTGCCCATTACCGTCTTAGTGTGCATTTAAAAACATGAATGCTGTTCGTTTTGTAAGGTAATCGTTCTGTAAACGGAGATGTCTATTGGCACACCTCGGGATCATTAGTGAACAAATCCCTTCTTTTGGTTTCCTTCATCAGAGGTGATGTGTGTTCCATGGACCTCGTGTATCAAGAATTCAAGGAGGCATGGTCTGTGCGAGGCGTGGAACCACTTTAGAACGTCGCTCGTCGAGGCCACCGGCGCTCGTAGTGGGATTTAGGCCGCAGCATCAGATCAAATTCCAGAGAGGCCAGCATTACTAGTCCGTATTAGTGACTTACGTCAGTCTGTCCGTACCAACATTCTTGTAGGATACACTATCAGCGAACGCGGCTCGGAAGACTACTCCTAGTCATGGTTGGTTACAGAGACGCGGCTTTTGGCACGTGGATTGTGAACAGAAATGGGTCTGCGACCGGGGTCTTGCAGTCTCCCACGTGGCATTTCAGCAGCTCCGTGGACCTGAAGCCTGAAGATTTCAGCTGGCACGTGGCATGTGCGTAAGCCTCGTCGCGACGACCTTATTATTTTCTCGCGAGCGCCTGCCTCATAAACGCGGTACTCTTTAATAGATTAGTTAGTCATAATGAATGCCAACCAATGAATTATCTGGCAGCACATCGGCGAAACACGTGGCCGTCACGACTTCCGTCATTTCCTTCAGTCCATGTCAATCTCGACGGACTGACCAACGGAGGAGCTTCTTTGAGCCACTCTTGACCGGCTGATACTTGAAAACTACACTCGTCCCAGCTTACCCATTCCTTTAAACACCTCTCCTCAACCCTTTCTTCAAGCTTCACCTTTGCTGTTGTCTATTTCCACCCGTTTAGCCTATAACCAACCCCTCCCCACCCTCAGCCGACCTTTTATTTCCCCCTGATTCCACCCTTCCTGCGTAACCCGCTTCATTACACCTGGGAATCGCGCCACCATAGCAAGTACTGGCCGACAGCTCTTTTTGTTTGTTTGTTTGTTTTCTTCCTAATTTCCAATAACACCTATGGAAGTTCACCCTTCCCTGTGCTGGCTTACTTTCCCTCCTTGCTATCCGTCTTCCCCTCCCCACTATCCGTCTTCCCTCCCCCGTTTCTGTCTTCCCCTCCCCCCTGTCTGTCTTCCCTCCCCTCTATCTGTCTTATCTCCCCTCTTTTCGTCTTCGCCTCCCCCTTATCCGTCTTCGCTTCCCCTTAACCGTCATCCGTTCCCCCTATCTGTCTTCGCTCCCCCCTATCCGTCTTCCCCTCCCCCCTATCCGTCTTCCCCTCCCCCCAATCCGTCTATCCTCCTCCCTATCCGTCTATCCTCCTCCCTATCCGTCTATCCTCCTCCCTATCCGTCTATCCTCCTCCCTATCCGTCTATCCTCCTCCCTATCCGTCTATCCCTCCCCCATATCTGTCTTTCCCTCCCTCTATCCGTCTTCCCTATCCGTTCTCCGCTCCCCCCTATCTGTGCTCCCCTCCTCTTTTTCTTCTTCCCCTTCCCCATCCCCTACATACACACATGGCCGACACACACCTCCTCTTCCTCCTCCTCGTGGCCCCTGCCTCCCTCCCCTCACCACTCTCCTTAATCCCATCTGCCGTCCCCGTCCCCTTCCCCTTCCTCTCCTCATCCCATTCCCCCCATTCCTCCAGGGACTCTCTTCCTCAAGCTCTGCGCCTTCGTCCCTCTCGCCCTACATCACGCCAGCCATCGCGCCCTTCCTCCCGGCGTGGCAGCAGCAGTGGGAAGCAGTGCAAGCCGTGCTCATGGACCCCTGCTCGCAGCACGCCCTGATGGCCGACACGCACCTCCTCTTCCTCCTCCTCGTTGCCCTCGCCTCCCTCCCCTCTCCACTCCCCTTATTCTCACTCGCCCCTCCCCTTCCCCTTCCCCTCCCCGTCTCCTCCCCTCTCCCATCCGCCCAGGGACTCTTTTCCTCAAGCTCTGCACCTTCCTCTGGTCACACCTCTCGCCCTACATCACGCCAGCCATCGCGCCCTTCCTCCCGGCGTGGCAGCAGCAGTGGGAAGCAGTGCAAGCCGTGCTCATGGACCCCTGCTCGCAGCACGCCCTGATGGCCGACACGCACCTCCTCTTCCTCCTCCTCGTTGCCCTCGCCTCCCTCCCCTCTCCACTCCCCTTATTCTCACTCGCCCCTCCCCTTCCCCTTCCCCTCCCCGTCTCCTCCCCTCTCCCATCCCCCCAGGGACTCTTTTCCTCAAGCTCTGCACCTTCCTCTGGTCACACCTCTCGCCCTACATCACGCCAGCCATCGCGCCCTTCCTCCCGGCGTGGCAGCAGCAGTGGGAAGCAGTGCAAGCCGTGCTCATGGACCCCTGCTCGCAGCACGCCCTGATGGCCGACACGCACCTCCTCTTCCTCCTCCTCGTTGCCCTCGCCTCCCTCCCCTCTCCACTCCCCTTATTCTCACTCGCCCCTCCCCTTCCCCTTCCCCTCCCCGTCTCCTCCCCTCTCCCATCCCCCCAGTGACTCTTTTCCTCAAGCTCTGCGCCTTCCTCTGGTCACACCTCTCGCCCTACATCACGCCAGCCATCGCGCCCTTCCTCCCGGCGTGGCAGCAGCAGTGGGAAGCAGTGCAAGCCGTGCTCATGGACCCCTGCTCGCAGCACGCCCTGATGGCCGACACGCACCTCCTCTTCCTCCTCCTCGTTGCCCTCGCCTCCCACCCCTCTCCACTCCCCTTATTCTCACTCGCCCCTCCCCTTCCCCTTCCCCTCCCCGTCTCCTCCCCTCTCCCATCCCCCCAGGGACTCTTTTCCTCAAGCTCTGCACCTTCCTCTGGTCACACCTCTCGCCCTACATCACGCCAGCCATCGCGCCCTTCCTCCCGGCGTGGCAGCAGCAGTGGGAAGCAGTGCAAGCCGTGCTCATGGACCCCTGCTCGCAGCACGCCCTGATGGCCGACACGCACCTCCTCTTCCTCCTCCTCGTCGCCCTCGCCTCCCTCGTGCGCGCCCTCCAGCCCGCCCCCCGCCTCGGTCCTGGCGTCACACCCGAGCAGCTGCAGCAGCAGCACTGGCTGCACCACCGGCGCCACGTACGCGTTTTAGAGGGGTCTCTGTACACGGTTACAGTGGTGCTGACCATGCTGGTAGGGCTGGCGAATCTGGTGGTTTCCCTGTGGTATGTCTGGCCGGGGTGGCGGCCGGAATGGTCCGACTGTCCCATATTCGAAGATCTGCTGCCGATCGTGCAGTGTGTGGCGTGGTTCGGCATGTCCTGGTCGGTCATGGAGGAGAAAAGACAAGGTGCCACGTGGCACTTCTTCACTCTCCGCCTCTGGTGGACCTCGGTGTTTGTCCTGAATTCCTGGAGCGTGATCTACTCACTTGTGCAGATGCACAAGGGGGTGCCTCTATCAGTCGACGCAGCCCTTGGGATCATCGCCTGGCCCATTTCAGCCTTTCTCTTCGCAGTCGCTTGCCAAAAGCCGCCGCCCGTTCACCACCCAAACGAACCTCTGACCGAATCGCTTCTTTCCGGGCTGCCCGGAGTGGCCGATCAGCCGACCGACCCGGGGGTCACCCCCTGGGAGCGGGCAGGCTGGTGGAACGTTCTCACCTTCCAGTGGATCAACCCGCTGCTCGCCAAGGGGCACGAGAAACCTTTAGACCTGCCCGACATTCCGTTCCTAGCAGATTGGGATACGGCGGATGCTGCCCGAGAAGCTTTCTACCGCACATGGGATCGGATCCGGCTCTACACGCCGCTCCAACAACCGTCCATCACCTGGACCCTCTGGCTCACCTACTGGCGAAAGTTCCTGGCAATTGCGTTCTGGGCAGGGCTGGAAACGGTGCTACTGTACATAGGCCCGTCGCTGCTGGCGGAATTCGTGAGGGTGGTTGGGGCGGACGTGCCTGTGCTGACTTTCGGGGGAGGAGGCGCTGCGGAAGTTTGTGCTGCTGGGGTTGCCGGTGATGCTGGTGCTGGTGGTGGCAGCTGCAGCAGCAGCACTGGAACCTGGAATGTTGATCTGGCTGGGCCGTTAGCAGCTCTGGGAACGAGCCTGACTGGGGCCTTTGGCTTGACCGGACTGTTTGGCTCGGCTGCTTCTGCTGCTTCCGCTGTTTCTGCTGCTTCTGTTGCTTCCGCTGCTTCTGCTGCTGCTTCCAACCTCACCGCAACTGCCCAAACCATCGCCTCCGCCACCTCTGCTACGGCGGTTGCTGCTGCCTCTTCTGCTGCAGCCTTCGTCACCCAAACAGCAGCAACCGCAGCAGCAGCAGCAGCAGTCCCAGCAGCCGCAGCAGCAGCAGCGGCACCAGCCCCAAGCCCGGGCGCGCCACCAGACGACCCGTGGGCGCAGTGGGAGGGGTACTGGCTGTGCGGGGTGCTGCTGGGGTGCAAGCTAATAGAGACGGTCGCACAGCACCAGTTCTACTTCCGCTCTGATATACTCGGGATGAACGTGCGGGCTGCGCTCACAGGGCACGTGTTTGACAAGGCGCTGAGGTTAAGCAATGCCGCCCGCCACACGCACCCAATGGGGGAGATTGTGAACTACATGGCACTGGATGTGCAGGTGAGGGGACGGGGTTAGGAGGTTTGGGTTTTTGGGGTTTGGGCGTAGTTGTGTGCTAGCTTGGGGTTCTGCTGGGGTGCAAGCTGATAGAGACGGTGGCACAGCACCAGTTCTACTTCTGCTCAGACATACTCGGGATGAACGTGCGGGCGGCGCTCACAGGGCACGTGTTTGACAAGGCGCTGAGGTTAAGCAATGCCGCCCGCCACACGCACCCCATGGGGGAGATTGTCAACTACATGGCTCTTGATGTGCAGGTGAGGGGGCTTAGGGTTCGAAGTAGGGTTTAGAGTTGGCAGTGACGGTTAGGGTCAAGGGCAGACGCTTAGGCTGAGCGATGCCGCCCGGCACACGCACCTCATAGGCGAAATCAAATCGTCAACTACATGGCGCTGGATGTGCAGGTGAGGGGTTTTGGGAGTCCAGGGTTACGGGGTCTAGGGTTTGGGGATTTGGGTTTGGGAAGGAGCAGTTAGCGAGTGTGGGTGATGCTCCTCCTGTGTACATCTATTCCTTTGCTTTAAGCCTCCTGCACGCACGCAGCTCACTGAGCTGTCTGGATCTCCTGTGGGTGATGCTCCTCCTGTGTACCGAGCTCGTCTGACAGCAGTGGAGTGGAATAGTGGACATGATGTTGCAACCCTTTCTCATCCCCCCTGCGCCCCCCCCCCCAGCGAGTAGCGGACATGATGTTTCAGCTGAACAATCTCTGGACGCTCCCTCTTCAGATCGTGCTCGCGCTGCTGCTGCACGCCACTGTGGGCCCCGCAGGCACGCTGGCAGGCGTGGCCACCATGGTGCTCATGATGTGGGCGCAGCTGCTGGTGTGGCCATGTGGGATGGAGTGCGGTGTGGTGGGGTGGAGGTGGATCCAGTTGGCAGGCAGGCTGGCTGGCGAGGGAGGGAGTCTAAATATCCCTTTTCCTCCCCAACCCTCTCTTCCTCCCCTCCTCTCCTCCCCATCTCCCACACAGAGAGTAGCGGACATGATGTTTCAGCTGAACAATCTCTGGACGCTCCCTCTTCAGATCGTGCTGGCGCTGCTGCTGCTGCACGCCACCGTGGGCCCCGCAGGCACGCTGGCAGGTGTGGCGACCATGGTGCTCATGATGTGGGCACAGCTGCTGGTGGCGGGGCAGGCGAGGGAGTGCCAGAAGGAACGCACTGCTTGGCAGGACCTGAGGCTGAAAGCAACCACAGAGGCACTCAACAACATGAAGGTGAGGCGGGGGGGGAAGAGACAACATGCAGGTGCGTTGGGAGTGCAAGGGGGAGAGGGTGAGTACTGTTAAAACTGAGCTTAGAATCGATACTTCAGTAATGAGTGAAGCTCCTTAAGTACATCCGAAATGAGCAAGGTATGGATGGGGAGGGAATCGGGGGTAATCCCAAGGGATTGGGGGTAATCCCAAGGCAATCTCAAATTGGTGGGTTGGAGATTGCTTGGTGATCACATTTGGGTTTGGTTGGGATGTGGGTGTACACCCAACCAAACACTAAGTGCAAACTACACTAAGCTAGGATATAAAAATTACAAGTACAAAATGTGAGATTGAGGGCTAACACTAACAAGTACAAGAGAAAGAGAGACAGAGCAGGCGTTGTCACCATGGTGCTCATGATGTGGGGAGAGAAGGCATGTTCCCAAGAGAATTTACCAGATAGGTTATTTTTGAGACGTCTCAAAAATAACCTCATTACACGTGGGAGAGAAGGCTTGTTCCTAAGAGAATTTTCCAGATAGGAGCGGCTGGGGCTATGGAGCATAGCAGCTAGCTATGGCATCTCAACACCTCTCCCCCCATTCCTTCCCTCCCATCCCCAGGTGATAAAGCTGCATGCGTGGGAGGGGCGGTTCCTGGAGCAGATAGAGGACTATGGGGGGGAGGAGGCGGCGTGGCTGGATGTAAGAGGCCTTTATTGAACCTTACTGACCCCATACCCCTCACCCCGCTCCCATCCTCCCCCCGTCCCCAGGTGATAAAGCTGCATGCGTGGGAGGGGCGGTTCCTGGAGCAGATAGAGGACTATGGGGGGGAGGAGGCAGCATGGCTGAATGTTGAGGTTCGTTTATCGAACCTCATCCCCCACACCTCCTTCCCCCACTCCCCTCTTCCCCCCCACCCCATCAGGTGATAAAGCTGCATGCGTGGGAGGGGCGGTTCCTGGAGCAGATAGAGGACTATCGGGCGGAGGAGGCGGCATGGCTAGCGCGCTACAACTACCTCATGGCGGCCAACATCGTCTTCCTCTGGATGTCTCCTCTCCTCGTCGCCTCCGCCACATTCGCTGCCTGCGTCGCCTTCGAGGAGCCTCTTTCCGCCGCCTCCATTTTCACTGCCATCGCCACCTTCCGGATCCTCCAGGTGGGTGGGAAACGGATGCTCTCTCATGTCATTCCGCCCTTGCTCAGCGTGCCATGGCCTAGGTAGGCCCTGCCCTATGCCCTAGGACCTAGGTGTGCGCAGCCTGGCATGGTTAGCACGCTACAAACAACTACCTCATGGGGGCCAACATCGTCTTCCTCTGGATGCCACCACTCCTCGTCGCCTCCGCCACTTTCGCTGCCTGTGTGGCATTCGAAGAACCCCTCTCTGCTGCCTCAATCTTCACTGCCATCGCCACCTTCCGGATCCTCCAGGTGGGTGGGAATCTGATGCTTTCTCATGTGATTTTGCCCTCGCTGAGCATGCCATAACCCAGGTAGGCCCTAGGCTCTCTCTAGGTGAGTGCAGCCGGCATGCATGGCTGGCGCGCGGCAACCACCTCATGGCGCCCAACATCTTGTTCCTCTGGATGTCGCGTGTGTATTCTCAAACCACCTCATTTTGAGAATTCTAAAAAAACATACGCAGCAACCACCTCATGGCGGCCAACATCGTGTTCCTCTGGATGTCGGGGAGGGAGGGAGGTCTCTTTATGAGGAAGGTGGCCTTTAGTAGAGGGTGCCTAGGCTCCTATCTTTGTCCCTGTTGTCTGCTGCTGCTCTCTGTTCGCACTTATTTTCTGCGTAGCTCTTCCCTTTCACACCATATCCTGTATTCCACCTTCTCTTCCACTGCCTGCTATCTACTTCATCTCATGCTCCCACACTCATCTCCTCCCAATCCCCTCCTTGCTCCTACCTCCCTTCCTTTCCCCGCTCTTTTCCACCTCTCTGCCTCACAGGAGCCCCTCCGCTCGTTCCCAGATGTCCTCTCCTCCATCTCTCAAGCACTCGTGTCTCTCGATCGCCTTGCCAGGTAAGCTGTGCCTCTAGACTGCTTAATTTCCTGCTCGCTGGGTATGGAGCAACCTGTCTTGCATTCTGGTACCCCAGGTGTTTTGAGACGTCTCAAAACACTTCTTCAATCGTCTGGTACCCCAGGTATTCGCAATGGTGGCATTGCTACACATCTTTTCTCCAGAATACTTCCAGGCTGTTCCCCTGCTGGACTGCTCCTTGCTCCATGCTCCCTGACCCCCCTCCCCCTCCATATCGCCCTCCCCATTCCCCATTCCCATTCCCATTCATCCAAGTACCAGTCAGCGCAGGAGATCGAGGTGACAGCAGTCTCATGGCTCTCCCCGGAAGACACACAGGACGCTGTCTTTGTCGATAGGGGCGTTTTCACCTGAAACCTGGCCCTCCCGCACCTGCACCACATGCACCGCCCCCTCCCCAACCCTCTGCCCGTCCCCACCCCTTTTCATTGCTGCTCTCCTTCCTCATCCCCCTCCCCATCCCCATTACCTTCGCTTCTCCCTCCTCGTTCCCGATACCAGTCAGCGCAAGAGATCGAGGTGACAGCAGTCTCATGGCTCTCCCCAGAGGACGCTGTCTTTGTCGATGGGGGCACTCCTCCTTCCCTGTCCGCCACATGCCTCTTCCCTTTCCATCCCCTACCTCCTCCCCACCCCCAATCCAGGTACCAGTCAGCGCAGGAGATCGAGGTCACAGCAGTCTCATGGCTCTCCCCAGAGGACACAGAGGACGCTGTCTTTGTCGACGGGGGCGCCTTCACATGGGACCTGCCGCCCCCGCACCTGCAGCACATGCACCGCCCCACGCTGCGGGGCATAGGCATGCAGATAGGCCGCGGAGCAAGAGTGGCCATCTGTGGGCCCGTGGGGTCAGGCAAGTCGAGCCTGCTCAGCTGCATCCTGGGGGAGATGCACAAGCTTTCTGGGATTGTGAGTAACGTGCTATTCGGGAATGTGAGTAGAGAGCAATTGGATATTGTGATTGGAGAGAACCACAATGAATCTCAAAAGTCAGTCCCTACCTTTTTGACGCCCGCCCCGCTCACCTCTCCCGGGCAGGTGCAAGTGGCGGGCACCATAGCACATGTGCCGCAGACCCCGTGGATTCAGAACGGCACCATCCGGGACAATGTCACCTTCGGCCTGCAGATGAACCGCGCCCTCTACGAGCGCGTGCTGCGCGTGTGCGCGCTCGCTGCTGACCTGGCAGGTGAGCTTGCGCCCTTACTGCTGACATGGCAGGTACGTGCATGTGCACCCTCGCTGCTGACCTAACTGCCATGTCAGCATGCATATTTTTTCCGAGCTGGCACCCACGTTGCACGCACACTTGGTGGCGCTTGTTATCACACTCCACCTTGCATCCCCACGCCTGTGCTGGCGTCTGACGTGGCAGTGCTGCCACGTGGCGACGAGACAGAGATCGGGGAGCGTGGGATCAACCTATCGGGCGGGCAGAAGCAGCGTATCCAGGTGGCGAGGGCCGTGTACCATGATGCCGACATCTACCTCCTCGACGACCCCTTCTCCAGTGTTGACACCGCTACTGGCTCCTTGATATTCGATGTGAGTGACCTCTCACGGTCTACCATCATCTCATACTGTGTGCCCGTTAAGGAGCATTGCAGAAGCAGCGCATACAGGTGGCGAGGGCCGTGTACCACGACGCTGATATCTACCTCCTTGATGACCCCTTCTCCAGTGTTGACACCGCCACCGGCTCCTTGATCTTCGATGTGAGTGAGCTTACACGGTCTCAACCGCCAGTGCGAAGAACCCTAAATCTCGTATTGAGGTGCCTTTGTGATAGGGGTCCTCACCCTGACAACGAGCAGCTAGACAGAGTCCTGTTGGTAGTCCCTCCCTGTTGCTGCTAGTTGTCGGAAGGCTAAGATCTTTAAAGATCTTAGCTTTCAATGAAGCTAGTCCCTTGTGCTCCACACCTCTCCCTCGTCTCTCTGTGTTCCTCTCCTCACCATGAGTGCGTGCTTGGCCGGCTGGGTGAGTGCACCATTACTGGCACCACTTGATGCACTCACAGTTTTGAGACGTCTCAAAACTAGTGCACCATTACTGGCACCACTTGATGCACTCACACTAACCCGATTTTTGAGGCGCCTCAAAAAAGGCCGGCTGGGTGAGTGCACCATTACTGGCACCACTTGATGCACTCACACTAACCCTTTTCCCCACTGTGCTTCCCCCACCAGGAATGTGTGCTAGGTCTGCTGGGCGCAAAGACGGTTCTCTTCGTGACCAATCAGCTTGAGTTCCTGCCCGCTGCTGACCTCATCCTGGTGCGTGTTGATGTCATGCTGGTGCATGATGATGTTGTCGTGCTTGCAGCAATCACTAGTGGGGGGATTTCCACTAGCATGCTTCACTTAATTTAAAAAAAAAATGCAACTTGGTTATAGAGATGTCTCAACACATGGCGCTGCCAGTGCTCTGGCAATGTCATCTTTCACCTTGTGCACTCCACCACACTCCACCGCTCACCACTGCATTCGGCTGCACTTCACGACAACCCACTCCCTCCGCCACAGGTGATGCGGGATGGGGAGATAGTCCAAGCGGGGCAGTACGAGGAGCTGCAGCGCGCAGGCACAGACTTCTCCCTCCTGCTGGACGCCCACAACGACGCCATGGGCTCCATGGACCTCCCCCCTCCCAACCCCTTCCAACCCTCCCACACCTCCCACCACCACCCTCAACCGCAACGCGCCCCTTCCCTCGGGAACATCCTGGCTGCCAACGGTGACGTGTTCTCACGGTTTGACATGGACGATCAAGAGTTGGCAACACTGCTACTGGGGCCCCAAGCCGGGGCTGACGGGCTCGGGCTAGCCTCAGGCGGAGGTTCGGGAGGGATGGGAGGCCCGGGGATGGGTGCGGGAGATGGTTTGGGTGGTGGGGCGAGTGGGGTTGCTGCAGATGGGTCGCTGGTGGGGGTGGTGGGCGGGGCGGGGGGGGTGGTGGTGGGGCCGATGGCAGCGGTGGCAGCAGCGGTGGCGAGTGGAGCGGAGGACCGGCAGTTTGGACGGGTGAATGCGGAGGTGTACCGGGCCTACCTTACACGGGCGTATGGTGGATCCATGGTGCCCATCATTGTGGCTTCGCAGGTGTGTGACTCGAGGGGGGGGGGAAGAGCTGACTCAAGGGGCACCACAGGGGTGAATGAGGAGCGGAGGACCGGCAGTTTGGGCAAGTGAATGCGGAGGTGTATCTGGCCTACCTCACACGGGCCTACCTCACACGGGCCTACCTCACACGGGCCTACCTCACACGGGCCTACCTCACACGGGCCTACCTCACACGGGCCTACCTCACACGGGCCTACCTCACACGGGCCTACCTCACACGGGCCTACCTCACACGGGCCTACCTCACACGGGCCTACCTCACACGGGCCTACCTCACACGGGCCTACCTCACACGGGCCTACCTCACACGGGCCTACCTCACACGGGCCTACCTCACATGGGCCTACCTCACACGGGCTTATGGCCGATCCATGGTGCCCCCATCATTGTGGCATCGCAGATGGGAGTGAGAGAGTGCTTGCAGGGAGGGTAGCAGGGGGGGTTGGCATCGACTCAGTCAAGCAGCATGGCATGGCACCGCAATATGGTTTCACTCCAGGTATTCATGGAAGAGGGTGCATGGCCCAAGTGGGCATATGCATGCAGACACACACTTCGCTGCTGCTCCTCTTTCACCCTTCCTTCCCACCCCCACCCCTCTCCCCTCCCCCCTTGTCCCTCCCTCTGTCCCGGCCCCCTCAGGTGCTTTTCCAGGTGCTTCAGATAGGAGCCAACTGGCGGTTAACTCGTGAAGTCCAGCCCCTGCACCCAGCAGTGCTCACCTGGCCGGACGCCCGTGCCCACGCCTCCCTCGCCATCGGCAGCGGCCTCTTCGTTGTCCTCCTCTGTGCCTCCCTCCCTATCCTCCCCTCCTCTCTCTTCCACCCATGTATGCAAACCTGTCTCCTTCCGTCTCCCCTCCTCCCTCCGCATTTCCAACCTGCCCCACGCACCTGGCCCCACCCCTCCACCACCCTCAGGTGCTTTTTCAGGTGCTACAGATAGGCGCCAACTGGTGGCTAGCTCGTGAAGTCCAGCCCCTGCACCCAGCCGTCCTCACCTGGCCGGACGTCCGTGCCTACGCCTCCCTCGCCATCGGCAGCGGCCTCTTTGTCATCCTCCGCGCCTTTTTGTCGGTCCATGTGGGGCTGAGGACAGCAGATGGGTTCTTTCAGGACATGCTGCACGCTGTGTTCCGCGCCCCCATGGCCTTCTTTGACTCCACCCCCACTGGAAGGACTCTTGCTAGGGTAAGTCCTGAAGTCCTGCTGTGAGTGTGGGAGTCTTAGATCCCTCCCAAGGACTCCTTTCCGCGTGTAGTGAGTCGAGTTTTGAGTCGACTCAAAACTCGACTCACTACACGCGTAAGTCCTGACGTCCTGCTGTGAGTGATTGTGGGAGTCTTACATCCCTAGGACTCCTTTCCTGTCGGTCTGCACATGTGGGTCTGAGAATGGCAACGGCAGATGGGTTCTTCCAGGGCTTGCTGCTTGCTGTGTTCCGTGTTTTGAGTCGACTTAAAAGATGGGTTCTTCCAGGGCTTGCTGCTTGCTGTGTTCCATCCTTCAGCCCAAGGGCACACCACCGCAGGGGTTCGCCTGCCGCATCAGCAGACCAAAACGCCCTTGACTTTCAGCTCTTCAACGCCTACCCATCCCTCCCTCCCCACCACTCGCTCCATCCCTCCCCACCACTCTCTCCATCCCTCCCCACCACTCTCACCATCCCTCCCCACCCCTCTCTCCATCCCTCCCCACCACTCTCACCATCCCTCCCCACCCCTCTCTTCATCCCTCCTTACCCCTCTCTCTCACACAGCAGGCATCAGCGGACCAGAACGTGCTGGACTTGCAGCTCTTCTTCAACTCCTCTGTATCTCTACCCATCCCTCTCCACCACCCCATCCCCTTCCGCCCCTTCCCACCACTTCCTCTCTGCCTACCGCCAGGCATCAGCGGACCAGAACGCACTGGACTTGCTGCTCTTCTTCAACTCCTCCGCATCCCTCCCCACCACCTCATCCCCTTCTGCGCCTCTCTTCATCCCTCTGCACCCATCCACCCCTCTCTCAACTACATCAGGCATCAGCGGACCACAACGCGCTGGACTTGCATCTCTTCTTCAACTTTTGTGTCTCTCTCTTTATCCCTCCCACCACTCTCTTACCATCCTACTGCCTGCCAGGCATCAGCGGACCAGAACGCCCTTGACTTGCAGCTCTTCAACTTTGGCTCCGTGCATAACAACCTCGTGGTGCTCTCTTCAACCTATCTGTATCTCTCTCCACCACTCTCTTACCACCAGGCATCAGCGGACCAGAACGCGCTTGACTTGCAGCTCTTCTTCAACTTTGGCTCCGTGCTTAACAACCTCGTGCAGCTTCTGGGAATCTTCCTCGTCACCGCTGCCGTCACCTGGCCGGTCATCGTCGTCCTCATCCCCCTCGCGCTGCTCTACGTGCCGCTGCAGGTGGGGTAGGGCCTGGATTGGGGCACGCCGAAATTTTCAGGTGCCTCCTCACCTCAAGGTGACAGGGCAAAGGACTCCTTGTGTTTTGAGTCGACTCAATACAGGTATCTGCTCGAGGTGACAGGGTAGAGGATTACTTGTCATGTGTTGTCGCCTCTGCTGCCAACTGGCTGGTCATTGTTGTCCTCATTCCCCTCGCGCCCTTTTTTAGGCGCCTCAAAAGTAATATCGTATTACATGCCCTGCGACTGAATGATCCTCATAACCCTAGCCATGCTCCTAGCTAGGCATGAGCACAGAACCGAACCAAACCGAACGGAACCGAATCGAACTGAAACGGTTTCTGTGCTCTCAAACCAGAATCGGTTCGGGTTGAATTGGTTTGTGAGCATAGCTAGCCCGCATTGACAGCAAATTGTCCCTCCTCACACACGTGTCCCCAACATAGCTAGCCCGCTTTGACAGCAAATTGTCCCTCCTCACACACGTGTCCCCAACATAGCTAGCCCTCATTGACAGCAAATTGTCCCTCCTCACACACGTGTCCCCAACATAGCTAGCCCGCATTGACAGCAAATTGTCCCTCCTCACACACGTGTCCCCGACATAGCTAGCCCGCTTTGACAGCAAATTGTCCCTCCTCACACACGTGTCCCCAACATAGCTAGCCCTCATTGACAGCAAATTGTCCCTCCTCACACACGTGTCCCCGACATAGCTAGCCCGCATTGACAGCAAATTGTCCCTCCTCACACACGTGTCTCCGACATAGCTAGCCCGCATTGACAGCAAATTGTCCCTCCTCACACACGTGTCCCCGACATAGCTAGCCCGCATTGACAGCAAATCGTCCCTCCTCACACACGTGTCCCCAACATAGCTAGCCCGCATTGACAGCAAATTGACTTTTGAGACGTCTCAAAAGTTGCATTGACAGCAAATCGTCTGTCCATCCTCACACACGTGTCTTCAAGTCTACTACACGCACGCAGCTCACTGAGAAATGTCAGAAACTCGCATTGACAGCAAATCGTCCGTCCATCCTCACACACGTGTCCCCGACTTAGCTAGCCCGCATTGACTTCCCTCCCGTTTTCCGTCCTTTTGTCTTTCCTCCCCTTCCTCCTGTCAGCGCTACTACCTCTCCTCATCACGAGAGCTCACCCGAATCGACGGGCTAACCAAGTCGCCCATCCTTGTGCATTTCTCCGAGACGCTCGCCGGGGCTGCAGTGATCCGCGCATTCGCCCAGGAGGAGCGGTTTGAGATAGAGACCAGCCTATTCTTCCGTCCATCCTGCCTCCCTTACGCCCTCTTTTTTCCTCACTTCTGCATTCCTTCCCACACCACACCCATCCACCCTCCCTTATCACCCATCCCCTGCCAGCGCTACTACCTCTCCTCATCACGAGAACTCACTCGAATTGACGGGCTGACCAAGTCGCCCATTCTCGCGCATTTCTCCGAGACGCTCGCCGGGGCTGCAGTGATCCGCGCATTCGCCCAGGAGGAGCGGTTTGAGATAGAGAATGCAGATGCAGTGGACAACAACATGCGCGCCTACTTCCACTACTATGGCGCCATCTACTGGCTGGGGCTCCGACTGGAAACGATTTCTGCGGTGGTGCTCGCGTTTGTGGCGTTCCTCTTGGTCCTCGTCCCCCAAGGCACCATCGAACCTGGTAGGTGCCTTGCTTTGGAATGGAGATTTGCAGGAACCGAGGTGAAAGAGTGGGATGTGAAGGTTGTGGTGGTGTGTGCAGTGGAAGGAGCGGTTTGAGATCGAGAACGCAGATGCGGTGGACAACAACATGCAGTTGACTGACAACAACATGCAGTTGACTGACAACAACATGCGCGCCTACTTCCACTACTATGACGCCATCTACTGGCTGGGCCTCCGATTGGAGACCATCTCGGCTGTGGTGCTCGCGTTTGTGGCGTTTCTCCTGGTGCTTGTGCCACAAGGGACCATCGAACCAGGTAGGGAAGGCATGTGTGATGCATACAGCTGGTAAGTATTGCGTGTGTGTTTGGTGAAGGTTGGGTTGGGTTGTGTGGGGTGCAGTGAGAGGATTGAGATAGAGAACGCGGATACGGTGGACAAGAACATGCGCGCCTACTTCCACCACTATGGCGGCGCCATCTACTGGCTGGGCCTCCGATTGGAGACGGTTTCAGCTGCGGTGCTCCCGTTCGTGGCGTTCCTGCTGGTGCTGGTCCCGCAGGGGACCATCGAATCAGGTAGGAGTTCGTTTCCTGGTTTAAATGTGCAGAGTGACGATGGGTGGAATGCGGTGAGCGGTTTGAGATAGAGTAGGCGGATGCGCGGGACAACATCATGCGGCGGATGGTGGGGCAAGCATACATCCCCATGCTTGCCCCACCAGGAGACCATCGACCCCAGAAGGTGCCTCACTTTGGGATGTTATGTGCATTCCCCCAAAAGGTGTTCTCTCTTTTCCAACGCCTCTTCCCCCATTCCTCCTTCCCTAACCAGGCCTGGCAGGTGTCTCACTCGGCTATGGTCTGACCCTCAACATTGCTTTGGTAATGACCATGTGGCATCTCTCCAACCATGAGCTCTTTCTTTCTCCCTCCCACCCACCCCTCTTTCCCCTCCTTGTTCTTTCTCTGCCTTTCATTCACCAGGCCTAGCAGGTGTCTCACTCGCCTACGGTCTGACCCTCAACATGGCACTAGTAATGACCATGTGGCATCTCTCCAACCTTGAGAACAAGCTGGTAGCAGTGGATCGAATCCGCCATTTCTCCGCCATCCCCTCTGAGGCGCCCTTGATTGTCGAAGGCAACCGGCCCTCTGCTGACTGGCCCAACCGCGGCTCCATCAGCTTCGAGAACCTGCAGGTGAGCGCGGTTGCCCAGCCCACTGCTTCTCAGCTTGTGGCTGTGTGGCTGCTTTTGGAGCGATTTAAAAGCCTAAATGTGGAAGAAATCTGTTGTCTCCAACCTTGAGAACAAGCTGGTAGCAGTAGATAGAATCCGCCATTTCTCCGCCATCCCCTCTGAGGCGCCCTTGATTGTCGAAGGCAACCGGCCCTCTGCTGACTGGCCCAACCGCGGCTCCATCAGCTTCGAGAACCTGCAGGTGAGCCCAGTTGCCCAGCCCACTGCTTCTCAGCTTGTGGCTGTGTGGCTGCTTTTGGAGCGATTTAAAAGCCCAAATGTGGAAGAAATCTGTTGTCTCCAACCTTGAGAACAAGCTGGTAGCAGTGGATCGAATCCGCCATTTCTCCGCCATCCCCTCTGAGGTTCCCTTGATCGTCGAAGGCAACCGGCCTTCCGCCGACTGGCCCATCAGATTTGAAAACCTCCAGGTGAGCCCAGCCCACTGCTACCCAGCTTTGAAAACACGACTACAGCTTGTAGTGGAGAGCTGCAGAGTAGCTGACTGGGCCTTTCGAGGTTCCATCAGCTTCGAGAACCTTTGGTTGAGCCCCCTGCTGATTTTTTAGTCAACTACAAAAACCGAGTTTTGAGTCGAGTGTAGTGAGTCGAGTTTTGAGTCGACTCAAAACTCGACTCACTACACGAGAACCTTTGGTTGAGCCCCCTGCTGATTTTTGAGTCAACTACAAAAACCTCCAGGTGAATCCTCCGATAATTTCTAAGGTGGGGTCTTTAAGTTATTTAAAAGAAACTCCAGGTGGCTACATGGAGATCTCTTAAGACCTTTGCAACTATCCTATGCTTCTCGCCCCTTCCTTGTTTCCATCTCTCTATTTTCACACAGATGCGCTACAGGGAAGCCATGCCACTGGTACTGAAAGGCATGACAGTAACCTTCAGAGGTGGTGAGAAGATGGGAGTGGTTGGCCGCACAGGCAACTCAAACTCTCTAAGCCCTTTTCTTTTTCCCAACTCCTTTCATCGCCACAATATACCCAGATGCGTTACAGAGAAGCAATGCCGCTCGTCCTAAAGGGTGTGACAGTGACATTCAGAGGCGGGGAGAAGGTGGGAGTGGTCGGCCGCACGGGCAGCGGCAAATCCACCCTCGTCGTCGCCCTCTTCCGATTGGTCGAGCCGGTGGGTGGGAGAGTCATGATCGACGGCGTGGACATCTCGACCATCGGATTGCAAGATCTACGGTCCAGATTGGCCATCATCCCGCAGGACCCGACCCTGTTCGAAGGCACGGTTCGGTCGAACCTGGACCCTCTGGGCCGGTACCATTCCAGTTTGCTCTGGGAGGTGCTGGAGAAGTGCCAGCTGGCAGAGGCGGTAATGGACAAAGAGGACAAGCTGGACGCCATTGGTGAGTCTTGTCGTTTTCCTCACTCTCCTACTCACCTGCCCCGTATATTTCGAGGCGCCTAAGAATCATCTCATCACGCCTGGGAGGTGCTGGAAAAGTGCCAGCTGGCTTTTTTTTTGGGCACCTCAAAAAGAGAAGTGCCAGCTGGCAGAGGCAGCTCTTTAAGTAGCCCTAGCACGTGCCTAAAACTCATTCCCGGAATGATTATCTTCTTGCAGTGGTGGAGGGAGGGGAGAACTGGAGTGTGGGGCAACGGCAACTCTTCTGCCTCGCCAGAGCTCTGCTCAAGCGCTCTCGAATCCTGGTGCTGGATGAAGCAACCGCGTCCGTTGATTCGGCCACCGACGCCATCATCCAACGGACCATAAAGGAGAACTTCGCCCGGGCGACGGTGATCACTGTAGCGCACCGCATCCCCTCTGTGATCGACTCCGATAAAGTGCTCGTGCTGGAAGCAGGTGAGTGGGGGCCGTGTGTGTGCTCGGGAGGGGAGGGGGGGGGTTCTGTTTTGAAGGTACATTGTAGCGCACCGCATCCCCTCTGTGATCGACTCCGATAAAGTGCTTGTGCTGGAAGCAGGTGAGGGGGGGGCGTGTGTGCATGTGTGTGTGGGGAAAGGAGGGAGGTGCGCTTATGTGAGGCACATCAACGCAGGATATCTGTAGTGCACTGTACATATAATCTTTGATCGATTTCCGTGAAGTGGTTGTGCTGGAAGCAGGTGAGGTGGGCTGTGTGTGCATATGTGTGTGTGGGGGTACTTTTGTGTAGGAGGCACCTCAATACACAATATCTGTAGCGCACCGCATCCCCTCTGTAATCGACTCTGATAAAGTGCTCGTGCTGGAAGCAGGTGAGTGGGACTCTGTTTGTATGGCTGGGGAGGGGGAGAGGGAGGAGGGGGAAGAGGGAGGCACTCTTTTGTGTTTGAGGCATGTGAACACACGATATCTGTAGCGCACTGCATACACCCTTTGATCACTCTTTGACTTCAATGAAGCAGGTGAGGGGGGCTGTGTGTGTGCATATGTGAGGGGGGCTGTGTGTGTGCATATGTGAGGGGGGCTGTGTGTTTGCATATGTGTGGGGGTACGTTTGTGTAGGAAGCATCCCAACACACTACATCTAGAGCGTACCACATCCCCTATGTTATCGGCTCTGAACAAGTGCTGGTGCTGGAAGCAGGTGAGGGAGGGGAATGGTGTGGGTGTGTGCGTTGTGCGCATGTGGGTTTGTGGGCGATTAATTGTTTGGGACGTTTTAAAAGTCCTTACTGTAGCCCCACCGCGCGGCCCCTCTGCACATCCATCATATTCGTGCTCCCACCACAACTCGCATTCATGCCCTCAACCCACATTTTGCATTCATACCTCCTCATTCTCCGACTAAATTCCAGTTTCGCTGCAACCGCAATGCTCCTCATAACAGCTAGTCTCTATCCCCACCTTTTCCCTTGATCAGACTGTCTCTACTTGTCATCTCCTCGATTCACTCACCTCTCCCCACTCCTCTCCCTTTTTCTGTCACTCTCCCTCCTGGCCTATTGTTCTATTGCCCTCTTTCCTCTCCGCTTCCACCGCACTCCAACCCCCACTTCTCCTACCGCCCATCAGCTCGCAGACAATCATTAGAATATTTTTCCTCCCTGTCTCTGCACCAACTCACATATTGCTGACCGTGTTCCCGCTCATCCTTTCCTTTTCCACCACTGCACGCATCTCACTCTCTGTTTTGACCTACTTTTATTTGATTTGATTTGGTACTACCGGTACCGTCTCCTTTGTTTGGCTCTGCAGGAAGAGTGGAGGAATTCGACTCTCCTGTGCGGCTGCTGGCCAATAAGAGATCGCTCTTCTCACAGCTAGTCGCAGAGTACTCTAAACGCACAAACACTGTAGCAAACCTAAGTGCCATGGTGCGCATGCCACGCGACTATTCAAGACAAACCATGCCCTTGGATGACTATTAGTAATTGATGTAACATGTGCTCATGTGATGGTGCACAGCACATGCCATGGTTCGCATGCCTCTTGACTGACCAAGCGCCTGGATGACTGGTAGAGGTAGCAAGTGATTGTAACTGGTGTGCTTTTTTATGAAATGTCTTTAGCAATCAGCATTGACAGTGGGAGGTACAAATATATATAATGTATATAATTGCAGTTTACTATTCAGTGTAGGGTAGAGAGGCACGCATGCTGCCGTTTCTGTCAAATCTGCTCGAAAAGGCTGTCCGCAACATAAGCTAGCCTGTCATAACTGCCTTTTTCCTGTGCACGAGGAACTAGCCGATGTTCCTAACCAGTGCGTCTTTGGCTCCTGCTTGTTCAACTCATCCGCGGTATTAGCCTGTCATTACTGGCGTTTGGCCTCACCAGATCGCATGCACTGCGTCCCCGCCTGCTCCTCGTTATAGACCGTCCGCGTTATGCGATAGCCTGCCGTTACTCCCTTTATGCTGCATTGGCGTTATTCGCGCTCGGCCTCGCGAGTTCGTACGCGTCACGTCTTTGCGTGGTGCTCGTTAGAAACCGTCCGCGATATAAGATTCCCTGTGCAATTCAAGTAGGTTATGAAGAAAGGTGCCAAGTTGTGGGCTTTTGAGTAGGTACAATACGGTACAGATAGGTATACTTGTCACTAGTCAGTCCCTCCACGCCTTCTCTCCTCTTTCAACCTTCTGCGTCCCTCCTTCTAACCCTATACCTTATTCCGCTCCCCTTCCCCGTCCCCTTTCCCCTTCCCGCGTCCCTCTGCGCCCTCGCCTTCCAGCCAGCAGTCCCACATAACCCCTGCTACAGCCTTCCTGACAGCAACAGCGTTCGCGAATCCAGCAGCAATAGCCCTGCCGGTCTTACCAAGCATCGCCAATCCAGGGGAGCTCACAAAGTTATCAAAGATGAGAAATGCTGGCACTTGGGCGAATGCAGCAATGCTGGCGAATTCAGGGGTGCTGGCGAAACTGGCACAGTTACCACACCCCATCAACGTCTCTTCCTGGCGAAATCACTCACTCGGGGTGGCAGAGCGGCAGTTTCCTTTGCCAGCGGCCCTCACTCCTGCCCGCCTTGCTGGTGCGAGTTTTTTTGGGCGGGTGAATGATGCTGTGAATAGTTTTTCGGGCAGGTGTGCTTGCTCAGCTGCTGCATCCAACGGTCACGATGCTTCAGCTAGTGTACTCGATGCTGAAGGATCCGCTTCTGTTATAACCATTGCGACGGAATCACCAAGAACGAGTATAGCAGCCTCTGCTGATACTGAACTGACTATAACGAGTATGTCAGGTTTGGTGGAGGAGGCGAGTGGGAGGGGAAAGGGGAGGAGGGGGAGGCCTAAGGGGAGTGGGGAAGGGGGAACACGAGGGGAGGGGGGGGGAAAGGGGACAGTCAAAGGGAAGCAGATGAGAATATTGGTGGAGGAGGTGGGGGGTGAGGGATTGGTGGGGGAAGGTGGGGAGGAGGGGATAGGGGCCGATGGCAGTGTGGGAAAGAGATACCCAGATATAGAATTGCGCGCAGTTGGTGAAGGTTCTATACAGAGTGACTCTAACGGTAGCAGTAACGATGCTGTGAGTGAAGTGGTTGTGGTGAGAAGAACGCGGGGCAGAAGAAAGACGGCTGAGCTGACCGAAAAGAAGGAGGAGGGGGAGAGGGAAGGGGCGAAAGGGGGTGAGAACTTTGTGGTGGAAGCAAGGGAGAAGGGGAGGTGGGGATTCAGTCCTCCGAAAGCAGACAGCAAGGTGCGAACAGAATCGCCTGATTCAGTCCTCCCCACAACTGGTGGTACTGATTCCATGCGGAGTGACTCTAACAAGAGTGAATCTAACGGAAGTGAAAGTCTGATTGAAGTGCTGGTGGTGAGAAGAACGCGGGGCAGAAGAAAGTCTGCTGAGCTGACCGAAAAGAAAGAGGAGGTGGGGATGGAGGGGGGGGGAGAGGGAGATGGGGAGGGGAAGAAGAAGGGGAGGGGGAGACAAAAAGCCAAGGAAGAGAGAGTAAATGACTTGGAGGGGAGGGGAACAGGCAATGCAGGCGATGACATGCGGATGGGAGTGAGAACTGACAGTGCAGGTGCTGTGTGTGGCGATGTGAGGGACCCTGTGTGTGGCGATGTGAGGGACCCTGTGTGTGGCGATGTGAGGGAACCTGTGTGTGGCGATGTGAGGGAACCTGTGTGTGGCGATGTGAGGGAACCTGTGTGTGGCGATGTGAGGGAACCTGTGTGTGGCGATGTGAGGGAACCTGTGTGTGGCGATGTGAGGGAACCTGTGTGTGGCGATGTGAGGGAACCTGTGTGTGGCGATGTGAGGGAACCTGTGTGTGGCGATGTGAGGGACCCTGTGTGTGGCGATGTGAGGGAACCTGTGTGTGGCGATGTGAGGGAACCTGTGTGTGGCGATGTGAGGGACCCTGTGTGTGTCGACATGGGGAGGAATACGCCCCCAAGTGTTAACGTAAGGGACCGAGTGTGTGGCGATGTGGCGAACACCCCCCCAGAGGATGGGGATGGCAACTCGCTATTGAGATTCCTCCAAAACCTTGCGCTAGAAGCGGTGGGCGGTGACAGCGACATGGAGGGCGAAAGAGGGTCGCATGTACCGGCGCCAACCACACTGGACCCCATGGAATCGCGCAAGAGAGCGTGGCACGCTGATATATCGCAGAGGCACCCAGAGGGGGCTGTCGTTTTGGGCGTGGACCCAGACGTGCTGGGGGCCGTGGCTGTGCTTTTTGTTAAGCCCCGGCAAAAACAAGAGGCGGAAAGTTGTGCTGTTAGTGTTGTTAACACCAGGAGTGGACAGGAGGAGGAGCAAGGGGATGGTGCTGAGAAGGATCTGCGTCTTCAGTCTTGTTCTGAGGCGATTTTTGAGGCCCCTCAAAAAAGGATTTTTGAGGCGCCTCAGAAGGCGCTGTGTGTGCAGTCTTGCTCTGAGGCGGCTCAACATGCAGCAACGAGTGAATGGGAGGAGAGGCTTACTGTTGCTGCTGCTGAAGCTGTGAGAGAGGGCGGAGGAGGAATTGTGGGAGGAGCAGTGGAGGAAGAGGAGGGAGAGGAGAAGTGTGAGAGAGTGTGGGAGCTTGAGGAGGAAATGGAGGGATGGACGAGGATATTGCCAGGAGGAGATGGGGCGGATGGGTTGGAGGAAGGAAGAGCAATGGTGTATGGGCAGGTGGGTTGGGTTATAGCCTAAAGGTGGGATACAGTTGAGAAGTTTTTTAAGACCTCAAATCCTTAAGACCCCGCAACCCTTCAACACACAATCCTAATCACGTTTCCCTTTTGAGTCGACTCAAAAGTCAACTCCCTTCAACACACAATCCTAATCACGTTTCCCTAGATCCTTGACCCTGCTCTACAAGTTTGTATCTTGGTTTTGAAGCCCTGCCCTGCAAACCCTCAAACGATTCTTTTGGCGCCTCAAGAATCGCCTCGCAACCTTTTCAACCCTCCCCTCCCTACACGTGTTCCTCCCACATCCATAACGCACCGTATGAGCTCATACCCCCCCAGATCCCCGTATCAGCTCGTATCCAAAACGCTAAACCTGAAACCCTGATCCCTGAAACCCTGTAACCCTTACAACCTTACTCTTGTTCCTCCCAGATCGACGATGTGCCGTATCAGCTCATAATCACTCACTCACTCACTCACTCACTCAATTACCCAAACCTGCAACCCGAAATCCCAACACTCGTTCCTCCCAGATCCACGATGTGCCATATGAGCTTGTATCTGTGGGTGCTTCGAATCGCAAGAGGCACAGCGCCCAGGCCATAGCTTCTCTCCTGCACCAGTTACCACCTGCACCAGGTGGGTTACACCGTTAGGTTGCACTCTGGTTACCACATGCATGGGTTTCTAAGGCCCGTCAAACATTGCCCCAGGCCATATCGGCTCCCCTGCACCAGTTTCCACCTGCACCAGTTGCCACCTGCACCGGGTATGCTATGGTCTGGTTGCCATCTGCTGCCTTCTTGCAATTTGTTCTTGTTTCTTCCCCTCACCTTCTTGTCACCTTCCTCTCACCTTCCTGTCTCCTTTATTCATCCTTCTTCTTGCCGTCATCTCACCTTCCTCTCACCTCCCTCACCCTCCTCTCACTTTCCACTCATCTCCCTCCCACCTTCCTCTCAGCTTTCCCAACCTTGCTTCTGCAGAGCCCTAGTCGTTTCGCCTCCCTTCTCACCCTCTTACCCTCTTCTCCTTCCCTTCCTTACCCCCTGCTCTTCTCCTCCCCTCTCCTCCCCCTTCCTGCTCTTCTGCTGGCCCCTTCTCCCCTCATCTTCTCCTCCCCTTCTCGGCCTCCCATCACCGCATCAGTTCGCCTTGCCTATGTGGAGCAGGCCAGGCCGTTCCCCTCTGATGGCAAACAGGTGGGTTGGGATGGGGTGCGAGCAGGTGGGGAGGTGTGCAAGAAGGTGGGATGGGGTGCAAGCAGGTGGGATGGGGTGCAAGCAGGTGGGATGGGGTGCAAGCAGGTGTGTCCAGCACTGTGAAGTGAAGTGCACCCAAGAAGGTAGTATTGCTTCGACACATATTGTATACAAGAGTGCATTCGGTGGTTTTTGAGGCACCTAAAAAAGAGCGCATTCACTGGCATGACTTCCCTTCATGGGGAGCAAGGCCAGCCCATGCCGTGTGAAGTGAAGTGAGACGTTTCTGAGGCGCCTAAAACATCGTCTCACTTTAAGGCCTTTTAAATGGCGAGGCCATTCCCCTCTGATGGCGAGCAGATGAGATGAACACTATGCAAAACAAGTAACAAGTTGTTGATCCAATGCTGTGAATAAGCCAATCCACCTCCTTCCACCCCTTCCTCATCCTGCAGGGTTGGTATGGCTGTGGCTTTGGCTTTGGGGTGTGGATGGGCGTGTTGGCAGCAAGTGGGTTTGAGGTTACTGCCACTCCTCTCATCACTTCCCCCCTCTCCGTTCCCCTCTCATTCCCTCCCACTCCCTCCAGGGTTGGTACGGCTGTGGCTTTGGCTTTGGGGTGTGGATGGGCGTGTTGGCAGCAAGTGGGTTTGAGGTTACTGCCACTCCTCTCATCACTTCCCCCCTCTCCCTTCCCCTCTCATTCCCTCCCACTCCCTGCAGGGTTGGTACGGCTGTGGCTTTGGCTTTGGGGTGTGGATGGGTGTGTTGGCAGCAAGTGGGTTTGAGGTTACTGCCACTCCTCTCATCACTTCCCCCCTCTCCGTTCCCCTCTCATTCCCTCCCACTCCCTCCAGGGTTGGTACGGCTGTGGATTTGGCTTCGGGGTGTGGATGGGCGTGTTGGCAGCAAGTGGGTTTGAGGTCACCACTGTGACGTCTGTGCAATGGAAGGCGGCCATTCGTTCTCAAGGATCACTCCCTTTCACCTCCAAGGTCGGTCACTCACTCAGGCACTCAGTTAGTCAGTCAGTCAGTCAGTCAGTCAGTCAGTCAGTCAGTCAGTCAGTCAGTCAGTCAGTCAGTCAGTCAGTCAGTCAGTCAGTCAGTCAGTCGCTTTGCGTTGTCGATGGGCGGGTCGGTAGCAAGTGAGTTTGACCGCACTGCCGTCTGTGCGGTGGAAGGCATTCGTTCGCACTCAAGCACCACTAGCTTTCACCTCCAAGCTCGGTCGGTCGCGTGTGAAGGTTCCTGCCTCAAAGCCTGCCTCAAAGCCTGCCTCAAAGCCTGCCTCAAAGCCTGCCTCAAAGCCTGCCTCAAAGCCTGCCTCAAAGCCTGCCTCAAAGCCTGCCTCAAAGCCTGCCTCAAAGCCTGCCTCAAAGCCTGCCTCAAAGCCTGCCTCAAAGCCTGCCTCAAAGCCTGCCTCAAAGCCTGCCTCAAAGCCTGCCTCAAAGCCTGCCTCAAAGCCTGCCTCAAAGCCTGCCTCAAAGCCTGCCTCAAAGCCTGCCTCAAAGCCTGCCTCAAAGCCTGCCTCAAAGCCTGCCTCAAAGCCTGCCTCAAAGCCTGCCTCAAAGCCTGCCTCAAAGCCTGCCTCAAAGCCTGCCTCAAAGCCTGCCTCAAAGCCTGCCTCCAAAGCCTGCCTCAAAGCCTGCCTCAAAGCCTGCCTCAAAGCCTGCCTCAAAGCCTGCCTCAAAGCCTGCCTCAAAGCCCTGCCTCAAAGCCTGCCTCAGCCTGCCTCAAGCCTGCCTCAAAGCCCTGCCTCAAAGCCTGCCTCAAAGCCTGCCTCAAAGCCTGCCTCAAAGCCTGCCTCAAAGCCTGCCTCAAAGCCTGCCTCAAAGCCTGCCTCAAAGCCTGCCTCAAAGCCTGCCTCAAAGCCTGCCTCAAAGCCTGCCTCAAAGCCTGCCTCAAAGCCTGCCTCAAAGCCTGCCTCAAAGCCTGCCTCAAAGCTGCCTCAAGCCTGCCTCAAAGCCTGCCTCAAAGCCTGCCTCAAAGCCTGCTCAAAGCCTGCCTCAAAGCCTGCCTCAAAGCCTGCCTCAAAGCCTGCCTCAAAGCCTGCTCAAAGCCTGCCTCAAAGCCTGCCTCAAAGCCTGCCTCAAAAGCCTGCCTCAAAGCCTGCCTCAAAGCCTGCCTCAAAGCCGCCTCAAGCCTGCCTCAAAGCCTGCCTCAAAGCCTGCCTCAAAGCCTGCCTCAAAGCCTGCCTCAAAGCCTGCCTCAAAGCCTGCCTCAAAGCCTGCCTCAAAGCCTGCCTCAAAGCCTGCTCAAAGCCTGCCTCAAAGCCTGCCTCAAAGCCTGCCTCAAAGCCTGCCTCAAGCCTGCCTCAAAGCCTGCCTCAAAGCTGCCTCAAAGCCTGCCTCAAAGCCTGCCTCAAAGCCTGCCTCAAAGCCTGCCTCAAAGCCTGCCTCAAAGCCTGCCCTCAAAGCCTGCCTCAAAGCCTGCCTCAAAGCCTGCCTCAAAGCCTGCCTCAAAGCCTGCCTCAAAGCCTGCCTCAAAGCCTGCCTCAAAGCCTGCCTCAAAGCCTGCCTCAAAGCCTGCCTCAAAGCCTGCCTCAAAGCCTGCCTCAAAGCCTGCCTCAAAGCCTGCCTCAAAGCCTGCCTCAAAGCCTGCCTCAAAGCCTGCCTCAAAGCCTGCCTCAAAGCCTGCCTCAAAGCCTGCCTCAAAGCCTGCTCAAAGCCTGCCTCAAAGCCTGCCTCAAAGCCTGCCTCAAAGCCTGCCTCAAAGCCTGCCTCAAAGCCTGCCTCAAAGCCTGCCTCAAAGCCTGCCTCAAAGCCTGCCTCAAAGCCTGCCTCAAAGCCTGCCTCAAAGCCTGCCTCAAAGCCTGCCTCAAAGCCTGCCTCAAAGCCTGCCTCAAAGCCTGCCTCAAAGCCTGCCTCAAAGCCTGCCTCAAAGCCTGCCTCAAAGCCTGCCTCAAAGCCTGCCTCAAAGCCTGCCTCAAAGCCTGCCTCAAAGCCTGCCTCAAAGCCTGCCTCAAAGCCTGCCTCAAAGCCTGCCTCAAAGCCTGCCTCAAAGCCTGCCTCAAAGCCTGCCTCAAAGCCTGCCTCAAAGCCTGCCTCAAAGCCTGCCTCAAAGCCTGCCTCAAAGCCTGCCTCAAAGCCTGCCTCAAAGCCTGCCTCAAAGCCTGCCTCAAAGCCTGCCTCAAAGCCTGCCTCAAAGCCTGCCTCAAAGCCTGCCTCAAAGCCTGCCTCAAAGCCTGCCTCAAAGCCTGCCTCAAAGCCTGCCTCAAAGCCTGCCTCAAAGCCTGCCTCAAAGCCTGCCTCAAAGCCTGCCTCAAAGCCTGCCTCAAAGCCTGCCTCAAAGCCTGCCTCAAAGCCTGCCTCAAAGCCTGCCTCAAAGCCTGCCTCAAAGCCTGCCTCAAAGCCTGCCTCAAAGCCTGCCTCAAAGCCTGCCTCAAAGCCTGCCTCAAAGCCTGCCTCAAAGCCTGCCTCAAAGCCTGCCTCAAAGCCTGCCTCAAAGCCTGCCTCAAAGCCTGCCTCAAAGCCTGCCTCAAAGCCTGCCTCCAAAGCCTGCCTCAAAGCCTGCCTCAAAGCCTGCCTCAAAGCCTGCCTCAAAGCCTGCCTCAAAGCCTGCCTCAAAGCCTGCCTCAAAGCCTGCCTCAAAGCCTGCCTCAAAGCCTGCCTCAAAGCCTGCCTCAAAGCCTGCCTCAAAGCCTGCCTCAAAGCCTGCCTCAAAGCCTGCCTCAAAGCCTGCCTCAAAGCCTGCCTCAAAGCCTGCCTCAAAGCCTGCCTCAAAGCCTGCCTCAAAGCCCTGCCTCAAAGCCTGCCTCAAAGCCTGCCTCAAAGCCTGCCTCAAAGCCTGCCTCAAAGCCTGCCTCAAAGCCTGCCTCAAAGCCTGCCTCAAAGCCTGCCTCAAAGCCTGCCTCAAAGCCTGCCTCAAAGCCTGCCTCAAAGCCTGCCTCAAAGCCTGCCTCAAAGCCTGCCTCAAAGCCTGCCTCAAAGCCTGCCTCAAAGCCTGCCTCAAAGCCTGCCTCAAAGCCTGCCTCAAAGCCTGCCTCAAAGCCTGCCTCAAAGCCTGCCTCAAAGCCTGCCTCAAAGCCTGCCTCAAAGCCTGCCTCAAAGCCTGCCTCAAAGCCTGCCTCAAAGCCTGCCTCAAAGCCTGCCTCAAAGCCTGCCTCAAAGCCTGCCTCAAAGCCTGCCTCAAAGCCTGCCTCAAAGCCTGCCTCAAAGCCTGCCTCAAAGCCTGCCTCAAAGCCTGCCTCAAAGCCTGCCTCAAAGCCTGCCTCAAAGCCTGCCTCAAGCCTGCCTCAAAGCCTGCCTCAAAGCCTGCCTCAAAGCCTGCCTCAAAGCCTGCCTCAAAGCCTGCCTCAAAGCCTGCCTCAAAGCCTGCCTCAAAGCCTGCCTCAAAGCCTGCCTCAAAGCCTGCCTCAAAGCCTGCCTCAAAGCCTGCCTCAAAGCCTGCCTCAAAGCCTGCCTCAAAGCCTGCCTCAAAGCCTGCCTCAAAGCCTGCCTCAAAGCCTGCCTCAAAGCCTGCCTCAAAGCCTGCCTCAAAGCCTGCCTCAAAGCCTGCCTCAAAGCCTGCCTCAAAGCCTGCCTCAAAGCCTGCCTCAAAGCCTGCCTCAAAGCCTGCCTCAAAGCCTGCCTCAAAGCCTGCCTCAAAGCCTGCCTCAAAGCCTGCCTCAAAGCCTGCCTCAAAGCCTGCCTCAAAGCCTGCCTCAAAGCCTGCCTCAAAGCCTGCCTCAAAGCCTGCCTCAAAGCCTGCCTCAAAGCCTGCCTCAAAGCCTGCCTCAAAGCCTGCCTCAAAGCCTGCCTCAAAGCCTGCCTCAAAGCCTGCCTCAAAGCCTGCCTCAAAGCCTGCCTCAAAGCCTGCCTCAAAGCCTGCCTCAAAGCCTGCCCTCAAAGCCTGCCTCAAAGCCTGCCCTCAAAGCCTGCCTCAAAGCCTGCCTCAAAGCCTGCCTCAAAGCCTGCCTCAAAGCCTGCCTCAAAGCCTGCCTCAAAGCCTGCCTCAAAGCCTGCCTCAAAGCCTGCCTCAAAGCCTGCCTCAAAGCCTGCCTCAAAGCCTGCCTCAAAGCCTGCCTCAAAGCCTGCCTCAAAGCCTGCCTCAAAGCCTGCCTCAAAGCCTGCCTCAAAGCCTGCCTCAAAGCCTGCCTCAAAGCCTGCCTCAAAGCCTGCCTCAAAGCCTGCCTCAAAGCCTGCCTCAAAGCCTGCCTCAAAGCCTGCCTCAAAGCCTGCCTCAAAGCCTGCCTCAAAGCCTGCCTCAAAGCCTGCCTCAAAGCCTGCCTCAAAGCCTGCCTCAAAGCCTGCCTCAAAGCCTGCCTCAAAGCCTGCCTCAAAGCCTGCCTCAAAGCCTGCCTCAAAGCCTGCCTCAAAGCCTGCCTCAAAGCCTGCCTCAAAGCCTGCCTCAAAGCCTGCCTCAAAGCCTGCCTCAAAGCCTGCCTCAAAGCCTGCCTCAAAGCCTGCCTCAAAGCCTGCCTCAAAGCCTGCCTCAAAGCCTGCCTCAAAGCCTGCCTCAAAGCCTGCCTCAAAGCCTGCCTCAAAGCCTGCCTCAAAGCCTGCCTCAAAGCCTGCCTCAAAGCCTGCCTCAAAGCCTGCCTCAAAGCCTGCCTCAAAGCCTGCCTCAAAGCCTGCCTCAAAGCCTGCCTCAAAGCCTGCCTCAAAGCCTGCCTCAAAAGCCTGCCCTCAAAGCCTGCCTCAAAGCCTGCCTCAAAGCCTGCCTCAAAGCCTGCCTCAAAGCCTGCCTCAAAGCCTGCCTCAAAGCCTGCCTCAAAGCCTGCCTCAAAGCCTGCCTCAAAGCCTGCCTCAAAGCCTGCCTCAAAGCCTGCCTCAAAGCCTGCCTCAAAGCCTGCCTCAAAGCCTGCCTCAAAGCCTGCCTCAAAGCCTGCCTCAAAGCCTGCCTCAAAGCCTGCCTCAAAGCCTGCCTCAAAGCCTGCCTCAAAGCCTGCCTCAAAGCCTGCCTCAAAGCCTGCATCAAAGCCTTGCCTCAAAGCCTGCCTCAAAGCCCTGCCCTCAAGCCTGCCCTCAAAGCATGGCCTCAAAGCCTGCCTCAAAGCCTGCCTCAAAAGCCTGCCTCAAAGCCTCTGACCTCTAAAAAGCCTGCCTCAAAGCCCTGCCTCAAAGCCTGCCTCAAAGCCTGCCTCAAAGCCTGCTCAAAGCCTGCCTCAAAGCCTGCCTCAAAGCCTGCTCTCAAAGCCTGCCTCAAAGCCTGCCTCAAAGCCTTGCCGCAAAGCCTGCCTCAGAAGCCTGCCTCATAAGCCCTTGCCTCAAAGCCTGCCTCAAAGCCTG